AACTCCATCTGATCCACACACCCTTGAGGTTAGTGATGGAAGCCTCGGAGATATGCAGGTCATTACACAGCAAAACTGACACGTATGCCATAATTTAGTGTTCTTGAGAGAACAAGTAGAGTATTCATCAGTGATGGCGAACCTATGACACGCGTGTCAGAGAGGTGACACGGGAACTCATTTTTTGGTTGATTTTTCTTTGTTAGATGGCATTTAAATATATAAAGTAAATATCAAAAATATAAGACTTTGTTTTACTATGGTTGCAAATATCAAAAAATTTCTATATATGACACGGCACCAGAGTTAAGTTAGGGTTTTTCAAAATGCTGACACGCCGAACTCAAAAGGTTCACCATCACTGTTCTAAATGAAGGTAAGCCAAATAAAAATTACTATAAATACAATAAGAATTATAAAAGCATAAAAAAATCACACAGGACAAGATATTAACAGAAATAAATCTAATAAGCATTTATGCTAAATAATCTTTTTTTTAAAAATGTATTTTATTGATCTTTTACAGAAAGGAGGGGAGAGGGACAGAGAGTTACAAACATGGATGAGAGAGAAACATTGATCAGCCGCCTCCCACACCCCCCCACTGGGGATGTGCCCGCAACCAAGGCACACGCCCCTTACCGAATCGAACCCGGGACTCTCCAGTGCCGCAGGCCGACGCTCCATCCACTGAGCCAAACCGGTCTCGGCAAAGTCTAGTCTCTTAGCAATTTTTAAGTATGTCATACAGTAAGTTTTTCTTACTATTTCATTTTAAAGTATTTTCTTTAAAAGTGGGAAAAATTAAATTTATATCTTTTAGTTCTAGTTTATAAAAAAATGAACTAAATATTTTCATATGAGCTTAACTCATGAATTCCTATTGCTATAAAACCCTTCTGAGACAATATTGCTCTTAGTAGGCATGCCTAATGTTTCATTAGAATAGTTCATAATAATTTCTTTTCCTTAATTTTGCAGACCTAACAGTTGGTGGTTTCCTTATATCAGAAAGAGGGCAAAAACCTATTTACCTGTAAAGCTGCACTTCGTAATTCCAAACACGTTGCAATTTTGCCTATGGTTTTCTGTAGAAAAAAGAAAAAGTTATAAATACCAAATATTATAACCATTAGCTAGTAGTTGTCAAAATCACCAGTTAATTTTTATTGATAAAGGATGTATAATTTCTAAAAATAAGTTAAATTCTCTTTCTTTTTAGCATCTGGCAGATTTTAAAGAAGAGAAACAGGCAGCAAGGGGCTGGGAGAGGGAGACCTAATGTGCCACCACCAATGTTAAATCAAGTTTACTTTGACGACAGCTTTATGACATGATCTAAAGGGCAATGAAAAGGACCTCCAACCTGTTCCCTCCAAACTCTGCCTTCTCTTTTTCTTCATAAAGCCTGACATTCATTAAAAGATTTAAAAGTAAAAGTATCTAAAAGTTAGCATGATATAATTTAATTTTGACTAAGTCCAATCATGACTTACATAATTAAATGCATAGGCACTAGTAAGCGAAATTAATACCTGTGATGAAGGGTGGCAAGTTTTACCGTCAGGTCTGTTTTATATAATATGAGCTATAAAATGGATATTAAGCGACAGGACATAGTCCTTGACCTTAATAAACTCAGCTTCTATGGTATAAGATAAGACATGTACAAAATCACTATAATCTAAAGAAGAGACACATGATTCTGTAAGATTCAGCAGAGTAAGCCACTGTAAAGAAATGGGGCAAGACCACATGCTCTAGTGACTGGGAGGATTTTTAAAACTAAAAAGCTTAGAAGATTGTCAAGATTCATTTGTCCCCAACTAAATTGAAGTGTGGGGTGTGTGTGTGTGTGTGTGTGTGTGTGTGCACGCTGGGGATGGGGGCGTCATTCTGAAGGGGACCTTCAATGACTAGCTGAGGAATCAGTCATTACTTTAGCAGTAAATTACACAGAAGGTTTCTGAACACAGATTTGCCATTTAAGAAGATTGTTGTGACAATAGAATCCATAGGATGAAGTAGAAAAGGTAAAAGACTAAAGGTAAGATCAGTCAGGTTATTTCAAGTATCCGAGTAAATGGTAATGAACATGAACATGAATGACTAGGTGGCTATGAAAAGGAGGACACCCATAGAAGAAATATCTGTAAGAGCAGGCAGCCGAATTATGCCCATCTATACTTTCAAGTCCTCCCAAAAAAGACATTTCTTAAGTTTTTATCAATCAATCCAGACCATAAAAGTGAAGTATCTTTGTACAATATTTACACTGCCTTCACAATGAACTATTCTGCAAACAAATGACATGTTTTTCTAAATGTATAAATGTTCGTTGACTTTGGCGGTTTTCTCTTTTGTCAGCTTTCTCTGCAAGATAACGAGGAGCAAAGAGGAGTGACAAGTATCATCCTGGCCCCAGTGCTTAGGCTAGTGTGCATTATTGCAATTATTATATCAATAATAAAAGCTGGTACAGCAACTCACAAAATAAACCACTACTGAGCAAGATGTGGCTCTTGGTTAATGCACAAGTAACCATATTTAATTACCTCCACAATCTAAAAATTCCCTTTAATCCCAACATAAGAGTTTAGAAAATATCCAATATCATTCTGAAAATTTACATTTAAAGATTCCATTTAAATATGTTAAGCGCAAAAGGATTCAAGACAGATTTATATAACATCTCAAATAGATTTTGCATAGGAATCAGTGAATCTTTTCTAAATAAAATCTAATCATTCTTATTCAAATATACCACTCAACTCTGACAAAACTAATAAATAATGTTAAACATAAATGTAATAATATAGGAGCAGTAATGGCTAACAATTATAGAGCACTTACTGACAAGCTCTCTTAAGTGATTTATAAGCTTTAATTCATTTAATCCTCACTATAATTCTATCAATTAGAGACAGTCATTTCATAGATATGAAAATTAAACAGAGGTTAAGTAAGCTGCCCTGCACATCAAATTTTTTCTATACAAAATATAAAAAAGCAATACATTTATTTTAATACCATTTGGCCATACTTTTTGTTCTTTCAAAAATGTTCTTTTAAAAAGGGTTTTGCTGTATTAAGTGAGATATATCAATGAGCAAGTCTTAAAAAATATTACTTAACTCCTTTTCCTTCTTTACTCTAAAATCCATTTGATTTGATACTTTTAACTTTTAAAGTAAAATGTAGTTTAACAATTATGAGTCCACTAATAAACCTATTTTAAAATGAACATTTCTTCAAGTTAAGCAGAAGCAACAGCTTTTCAGCCGGAATCTACTGAACTATGGCAAAATACCAATAGGCATTATTCATAACTATTTTAAGGGACCACACCCAACATCAGTATTAAAAAAGGAGTGAAACACTATCATTTTCAGATGTAGCAATGACTTTTAAAACATGTAGGATTTATTGGTGTCAAAATCAAGTGCTTGCTACTGTAATTGTTTCACCTTTCCTAGAAACAAATGGACACAAAAATGACTGACAAGCACAGGCCACTTGTACCAGAGTAAGTACTGACTAGTAACTAATGTGCATTGAGGGTAAGTGAAGTTTAAATTTAGAAACATTTAAATTATCAGCCTTCATTCAAATTAATTGCTCATGCCTGATATGATATAGAAATGGTAATGTCCTCATTTTCAGAATATTGGCTATTTTAGTTTATGGTTGCTAGGGAAATTGACAACTCCAAAAAGAGCAGTTACAAAGAAAAAGATGGAATAAAAATTAGACAATTAAAGAGCTACATTAATTTTGCCAAAATGTAGTTAATTTAAATAAGTTTTAAAAATACACATAGTTGAAGTAGTATAGTCTCAATCCAGATTTAATTTTTTAGACTTAAATAGCTAGTCATCTACTCTCTAGCTAGGGGGAGGCTGGGAAGGGAGGAAGAGAAGGGCGAGGCAGTAGAAAGGGGATGCCTATAAAATATAATACAAGCATTAGTGCTAGTATTCTCATTATCACCAAATTTGATTCAAAACAGGAAGAGACTTTCTAAGCATCATGAGACATGATGTTCTATTCTGCACAGAAACTTACATGAGAAAATCTACGACACCAAAGTAGGGAACTTAATGGAATGAAAGCTTTTGGCGGCTATTCTTTGGCTATTAAACCCAGTTGTTATTATGACAAAACTATTGGGAATAGAAAGCCAAGTCAACTAATCATGAGGGAGGATCAAATAAGAATGACAAATTTTCTTACTTTCCACCAGAAGTCTTTGTGGATAATATTAGAAAATCCCTATGAATATTTTATCACCAATTAGTAAAGTTTTGAGAGATCAGTAGTTCTGTTTTAGAGTCCTTTAAAATAAATATTGTGGAGATGTATATAAGTTATGCTCTCAAAAATTTAGAGATTTAGGATTAGGATTTCTCTTACCTTAAAATAATAATCATATATGAATAAATATCAATAATATAAGATTAATAATGAAGCATTTATTCATTAAATATTTTTGAAAGCTTCCTGTGCACCAAAAGGTTGTCAGTTCAATTCCCAGTCAGGGCACATGTCTGGGTTTTGGGCCTGATCCACAGTAGGGAGTGCACAGGAGACAGGGGACCGATGTTTTTTTGTTTGTTTGTTTGTTTTTAATATATTTTATTGATTTTTTTTATAGAGAGGAAGGGAGAGGGATAGAGAGCCAGAAACATTGAGGAGAGAGAAACATCGATCAGCTGCCTCCTGCACATCCCCCAATAGAACACGCCCGCAACCAAGGTACATGCCCTTGACCGAAATCGAACCTGGGACCCTTCATTCCGCAGGCCGACATTCCATCCACTGATGGAACTTAAGAGATGAAGGAAAAACTGACACAACTCTTTTTTCTTTATCTATGAGATTAAAATTTGATTTTACATTAGATACTCTGAGCCAGGAGAAAATGGGAATTGTTTCTTCCCATTTCATCTCACTCTTTAAAGTAAAGCTTCTTAAAGCACCCTATTTTTCATCATCTCTACCAGTACAAGGAGTTAACATGACACATTAAAATTTTAATTCAAGGAGAAAGAGCACCAATGAAACATTTTGCAATCTTATGCATTTATTTTGCCGACAGAATCTTATCCGAAACTACTGAACTAATTTTTTTCAGTGGTGACTTTTTGGGGGGAGTGTCTGTTTTGTTTTGAAAGGAGGTAGAGAAGTTAAGAAAGTTCACAGTTAAAAATAAGATACAATTACTCATAATCAAACTCCAGTTTATGGACTTCCCTCCCAACCAATGTGTAGATGATCTCCACTAAGATAAACAAAGTCGAAATGGCTAAGTAAAGAAATTCATGAAGTAAGAAATTCACTAAGTGGCAAATCACGTGGTATCTCTACGTGATCACAATATTCAGCAAAGCATAATCAGTATCGTTCTTTGTATAACAGTTCTGTTTTTGCTTAATGGAATCAAAAGACGGAACCCTGCCCTAACCGGTTTGGCTCAGTGGATAGAGCGTCGGCCTGCAGACTGAAGGGTCCCGGGGTTTGATTCCGGCCAAGGGCATGTACCTTGGTTGCGGGCACATCTCCAGTAGGGGGTGTGCAGGAGGCAGCTGGTCGATGTTTCTCTCTCATCGATGTTTCTAACTCTATCCTCCCTCACCTCTGTAAAAAATCAATAAAATATATTTTAAAAAAAAAGCCGGAACGCTGTTCATTTGGAATTTGACATATCTGGCAATTATTTTATGATACCTTTAGATCATCTGTGAATTCAGAATTATTGTGTTGAGCTTGGGCCTCTTTTTGTAGATGTCTTGCTAATCTGTAAGAAGAAAAACATATATATTCTTTAGGATTGAAGGAAAACAAAGTATCTCTAGTGCAACAACGTGAAGCGACTTCAATCTTTTATTCTTAAAAATATTTTATTTATTTATTTATTTATACGTTTTTAGAGAGAGAGGAAGGGAAGGGGGGAGAGAGAAACCTTTATGTGAGAGTGAAACATCAATTGGCTACCTCCTGCATGCACCCTCCTGGGGCTCGAGCCTGCACCAGGGGCATGTGCCCTAACCAGGAATTGAACCAGCAACCATTTGGGGCATGGGATGCTGCCAAACCAATATTGTTGAAGTACAATAATCTATGTTCTGGTTTCAAAGTATAAATCTACATTATCTTTAGAATCAAACTCTTTATACAATGACAATGAAAATACGATATACTTTTCAGAGCATTTCACTGGGACAAATTTGAGCTCTAGACAGTAAAAACAGAATCTTAGAGCTGGAAAGAATCTCAAGTGGCATCTAACCCAACCTTGTTTAGACGCATACATTTCTGCTGTAACAAGCGAATAAGCAGTTGTCCAGATTCTGCTTACAACTTCCAGCGAGCACCATTAACAGTACCAGCCAGAGACGCTTTAACCAGGAATTGAACCAGCAACCATTTGGGGCATGGGATGCTGCCAAACCAATATTGTTGAAGTACAATAATCTATGTTCTGGTTTCAAAGTATAAATCTACATTATCTTTAGAATCAAACTCTTTATACAATGACAATGAAAATACGATATACTTTTCAGAGCATTTCACTGGGACAAATTTGAGCTCTAGACAGTAAAAACAGAATCTTAGAGCTGGAAAGAATCTCAAGTGGCATCTAACCCAACCTTCTTTAGACGCATACATTTCTGCTGTAACAAGCCAATAAGCAGTTGTCCAGTGAGCACCATTAACAGTACCAACCAGAGACACTCTCTCTCTCATCATTGATTTTTCTCTCTCTCTCTCTCTCTCTCTCTCTCTCTCTCTCTCCGTCTCTCCCTCACCCTTCCTCTTTGAATAAAAAATCAATAAAAAAATATATTTAAAAAGACAAATAACTCAAAAATTGGCCAAAGAATTTGAACAGACTTTTCTCCAAAGAAGATACAAAAATGACCAATAAGCACATGAATATCGATCTTACCATTAGTCACTAGGGAAATACAAATCAAAACCATAATGAGATACCATGTCACACCCACTAGGATGGGTATAATTTTTAAAAAGAGAGAAAAAAATAACAGTGTAGGCAAGGATGTGGGGAAATTAGAACCCTCATATATTGCTGGTAGGATGGTACAGTCACTGTAGAAATCACTTTGCTAATTCCTCAAAAAGTTAAGCACAGAGTTACATATAACCCAGCAATTTCAAAATCTTGGGTATATTCCCAAAGACTGAAAACATATATTCACACAAAAAACCTGTACACGAATGCTTACAGCATCAGTATTATGCATAACGTCCCCAAAGTGGAAATACCCCAAATGTCCACCCATTGGTGAATGGGGTAAACAAAAAAGAGTATATCCATTCAGTGGAATATTGTTTGGCATTAAGAAGAATGAAGTAGTGATACATGCCACAGCATGGATGAACCTCAAAAACATAATGCTAAATCAAAGAAGCCACAGAGATCACATATTATGTGACTCAATTCACATGAAATGTCCAGATAAGACAAATCTTTAGAGACAGAATATAGATGAGCAGCTGGGGGTTTGGGTAGGAATATAAAGTGGCTGCAAATGGGCACAAGAGGTCTTTTCGGGGTGATGACGATGTCATAAACTTTATTGTAGTGATGGTTACCCACCTTGGTAAATTTACTAAAAATTCATTTCATTGCTTATGTAAAATGAGTGAACTCGTGGTATGTAAATTAGACCTCAATAGTTATTCTAAACTTTTTAAAAATCGAGGCAAATATATTTTCTAAATCCATAAATGATTGTAGCGTTTGAAGGGAAAGTGAGACATGACTGTGTTCCTTGAGGGAAAATCCACGTGCTTTTGGATATCAGACAAGCAAGGTGCAAGAGTTGCCGTTCTGTTAGTAGAGGTGAGAAATCTATCAAATATTCTTCTCTAGAGAATAAACTCACCTTACAATGCTTCCTACAGATTAATCAGGACTATTCTCAAAGGGGAGTTTTAATTATACTTTAAACACACAAACAAGTAGTTGACTGACAGCAATCTGTGACAGAAATCAGTGCTTCTCAAACTGTCTAGAGTGAAGGACCAGTTCTTTCTCCCAAATCAGTTCCAGACTAATCCTATGCAATAAAAGCGTAGTATGCAAACTGTCCCCTCAACCAGGAGTTCAACCAGGGGGTAGGGCCGGCCGGAGGAAGGGAGGGAGGCCCCAGCCAGCAGCCGGCAGCGGCTAGGGACCCTACCAGTGCACAAATTTCATGCACTGGGCCTCTAGTACTTCTATAAAATAAAAATGATCGTGCAGATGTTACATTGCTATAGTTTCTAAATCTCAAATCTCAACTCCTTTATTTATCTCATTGCAGACCAGCACCGATCTCTGGACCACACCTGAGTAGCACTGATGTAAGAAATAGTAAAGGTGATTAACAACAGGTATTATTCAGTCTTCAAACTCACCCATTCACTTTAACAAATATTTACTGAGCATCCAGGCTAATACCTCAGATTTGGTTTGTGAAATGTCTGATACTGAGCAAGAGACTCTATACCACTCTACCCTAAGTTAGGGATTTGCCATATAATTTGTTTAAATCTCCCAACAGTATTTTGGCATCGCCTCTCTAATGTTCCCACAGCATACTACTGAATCCATCCATTCAACAGAATGCGGTAATTATCTAATATCTG